GGTTTTCAAGCCACCATACTTGTGAGGTTGTTGTTCAAGCCACTTATGGAGCTGGGGAAAAAGACATGAGAATAGGCATGTTAAAATGCCACAAAGCTCACAGTTCTGAGATTTAGCCATTATTCTTGACTAAACACTCCTTGAATTGTTGTAAGCCCTTAATTTTCTGTTTGAAAATTTTGATTTGAACAATTTCTGCCAATGTTGTTGTTGCTTTTATGGAGGGAGTGGCTTTCTGGAAGGCCTTACTCTGCCATATGAGAAGTGCTTTTCTGCAGTTCATAATTTAAAAATGACTCTGGGGAAAGAATGGGGTTAAACCCAAGCTAGATTAGAAATGCTGTTTTTCATTAATACCAAATCTATTTTTTCCCCCTCACATTTTAATCTCTCTGTAGTTGAAATGCATGTTGCAATCACTCTTTGCAAGTCAGCAGTTCTGAGGAATTTGTCATTTTCTACTTGTGGACATCAAAATTGCAGAATGTGTCAGTAGCTTACAAGAAAATCCTGAAGACAATAGTAGAACCCTCTTTAAAAAGTGGTGTATCATCATTGCTTCCAATGGTGCAGAAGGCAATTTGGGGTGGGAAAAACCCCCCAAAAAACAATAGAAATTAATGACTCATTAAAAAAGTGATTCAGAAGAGAAAGCCTCTGAATATGAATGTTTTAAGAATACCTTAAATTATTTCACTTATATTTTGTTTTTATACATAGTGGGGGTGCCAAAAAAAAGGTATACATTTTAAGAGATGTTATCTATGCATTACTTTATGAAGTTGAATTAAATTACAATAGCAATGTGTAGTATGACGTTCACTCAAAAGATGGCATTAATCAAATGAGTACTAGCATCATTCATTGTATTACAATTTTAATACAGTTTTTTCCTTTCTTAAAAATGTGTATACTTTTTTGGGCACATTCTATGTTTGTGTGTGTGTGTGTGTGTGTGTGTGTGTGTGTGTATGACAGGTATTCACAATTTGTGTCTAAATAAGTCTAAAAGCTTTTTCAACAAATATGAGTTTTAAGTTACTGTTGCTTACTGGAAATATAATGTGAGCACAGACACCATTTTGAATCTTCTAGTAAGCATGTTAAAAAATGTAAAAAGGAACAGGTGAAGTTAATTCTAATGATACATTTTAATTTAAAACAATATGTCTAAAATATCATTCCAACTTGTCATCAATCTAACAAAATTATGGAGATATATTATATTCATCTTTTCATACTAGGTTTTAGAAATCCAGCGAGTATTTTACATTTTACATCTCAGTTCTGAGGAGTCACATTTCAAGTGTTTAATATCCACATGTGGCTCGCGGCTACTGTGTTGGACAGTGCACACCTAAGTGAGATACAAGACTCATGTTATGGCGTATTTATAGCATTATTCCTTGTAATGGTACACAAAAAAGAATGGTGCATCTTACACTTAGCAATACCTTCAATTAGATGAACTATGATGATGTTTACCTTGTGCTGGGAAGATAGACATTAAGTTCAGTTATGGAAAAAGTTAAGTTGCATTTCTTACTCATACCTGCTATGCAGTGTAGATGAGAATCCTCCAGGACACCCCTGCTGGCCCAATCTTCTTAAATAAGCTGTGAGTCAGCCTCTCTGATCCCCTATGGGAAGGCAGCAGCGGCCCCACTGCTACAGGCTCTTCATTTCCTGGGGCCCAATGGACGGCTAAGGCTTCGGAGTGTCTTCCTCTAGGTCTTCCAGTGCCCTTCTGGATCCTCTCAAACAGCTTTCAGAGATGAGAATACGCAGTTCAAGGACCCATCTGAATCTCCTTGTGTCAGCACTGCTTTTAGAATAACCAAGGGGCACGCTGCCATTCTAACTCCACCCTGTATCAGGAAGTCAGTGATGACAGGAGAGGATGTATTTTCCAAAGCCATTGATTTTTCTTTGACTTTGACAGTTGTGATCTGTTTCTCAGCTGGTGTCTCATTTTTTAGTTCAGTGCAGTTTGTTTCTCCAGCATACGATTTAGTGAGGACAGCAGCTAGGAAGAGAGCTTACAGAATGTTCAACCTCCACATCTGCTTTCTCTGTGTCGCATCAGAGGCACTGCTTTTATTGGGTTGTGACAAATAGACTGGCTTCTAATAACAAGAACTTGTACTTGGCTGACACATATAGTTCAGATACATTTTAATGTTCTGGGAATTTAGGGAACTTCAAAAGCCTGGGTTTTCTTTTAATCTCCATAAATTTCAAAGCACAATTTTTCAAAATATTAAAAGTACAATTTATCTTCCAAAAATGAGCCCTTGGAGTATATTGGGTATGGGATTTCTGAGTATTAGAGCAGTATATCAGGGAGGGGCTGCTTTACAAAGCCTAACTTATTGGTTTCAAGCATGAGCTTTGAAGTCAGACCAGGACTGCAAGCCAGGCTCTGTCATTTCCTGGCTGTACGATTGCAGGCTGATGAATAACCTCTCTGACCCCATCTTTCCTGGGCCTAATATAGTATCTACCTTAGAAGATGGTTTTGTGAGGACTCCATGCACTCCATCTACCATAAGTCTTGCCTAAATAGTTTTTGGTAAATTTTATTTATAATCGGGGGTTGGCACTCCTTTTCTGTAATGGGCCAGATAATATTTCAGGCTGGCGGGTGATAAGGTCTGTGTCACAATCTCTCAACTATGCTTTTGTATGTAGCAGTCATTGACAACATGTAAACAAATGACTGTGGCTGTGTGCCAATAAAACTTTATTTACAGAAACAGACTGTGGGCCATGGTTTGCCAACCCCTGCTACGGGCAATAATGGCCCAGCAGAGATTTAGTGCAGAAGGGCCACATCCTGCCAGATTCTGTGCACCAGCGTTCCTTAAACCCCGCACTTCAGTGTATAGAGCTGTGTAAACCAGATGAGCATTTAGAGGCACTTTTGCTTCTGAATTAATGACCTTGAAATGCAAATGGCCATGAAGATCCCTGGTAATTACTTTTCTGTTTTTTAAATTAAATTTATTGGGGTGACAATGGTTAGTAAAATTACATAGATTTGAAGTGTCCAATTCTATAATACATCATCTATATATCACATTGCGTGGTACTTTTTTTTTTAATTCATTTCAGGTGTACAAAACAATGTCATAGTCAGACATTTATACCCCTCACTAAGTGATAACCCTTCTCCTCCAATCTACCACCCCTCTGACATCGTATATTGCTGTCACAATACCATTGACTCTATTCCCTATACTGTACTCCACATCCCGTGACTC